GCAGAGGAAGAACTTGAGGAGTTTTGTAACTTCTCAGGAATGGAATGATTCCAAATGGCCAAAGGACATAGGAGCAAGGAACGTGAAAAAGTTCATTATGCAAGACAGGTTGTGGCATCACGTGTTGTATGCACTCAAGTTGACGGGACTTCTAGTTAAGGTGCTTCGGTTGGTCGACGGTGAGAAAAAACCAGCTATGGGGTACATCTATGAAGCAACGGATAGGGCTAGATTCTAGCTCACAGACATTGCTGAAGAAATGGTCCAAAATCTCCACAAACAAATGGATACTCTCCAGGTAAGCCAACTCATTATTGGTTATATCCACGCACACGGAGAAAAACAATCCAGCATAACGCTTGTATATCACCTTGTGTGTTCTAAAATGAAAATAATTGCAGAACAGTTTTCTCCTTCTAGCTCACAGAACAATATTGGTTTCTTAATCACATTTTCATGTCTCATAAGACACATATCTACTTCTCTATACAGATATTGAATGAGTTGGGTTACTTCTACCTCAGCTTATAACAACATCTCAAACAACAACTAATACCTCAACCAGAGAAACTTCGCAGATTCGAATTCGACAGAGCAATGCTCCTATAATGTGCTAGTATCAACAGCCCATCTCAAACAACAACTAATACCTCAACCAGAGAAACTTCGCAGATTCGAATTCGACAGAGCAATGCTCCTATACTGTGCTAGTATCAACAGCCCTAAATCTCATATACAAAACCTGAATTAAGAATCATATGCATTCCTACAATCTTGGTTCTTACTCACATAATTTTCATGTCTCATTAAGGTTTTTTCAAGTTCTCTATAAAGATCTTAATACTAGAAAACTCAGCTCCAATGCCTCAATTGAAAAAAAAAATTCATAATATCTACAAAAGCAATGATTTTTTCAAGCAAATCTACCATATAGTCTCTGGAGAACCCTAATCTTTTATGTTTAAGATTGAAAACTTTTAAACCAAAATCGGCTTGGTTGGGTTAAACCGATCTTTCTAGAATTTTAAGTTTTCGATTTTGAACCAAACGTACGTAAAAAAGTCCGTCGAAAATACAACTTCTTACTTGAAATCCTACCGTTTGTGTTCAGCCTCCATAACTCCATAGAGAGAAAAACGATTAGCTTAGCTTCTATCATGATTAAAAATTTATATTTGAATACTAATCTTTGTGTTCATGTTATTCATCATCGTATAATTTTTCTATCATGTTCGTGTAGTGCTTATTTAGAAAGCAAGATAAACAATTCCTACAGCTTTGTCTAACCTTATTTCACCTTTTGAATCAGTTATATTCTCTAAGTTTATTTGTTTTATTTTCATTGGAATAACTTTCTAAGTATTACGTTTGCTAATTATTGAACATGATCTTATAAAAGTCGTTACGTTGGGCTTGGAAAACATGAAAATATCCTGTAAACTTAAAATATCATGTGGCGCCAATAAATAATTATATAAGTACTGTATGTAGCTTGGAAAACATCAACAACTCACATTGAATAACACAAATCAGTATGAAAGAGTTCGATGTTAGGTCCGATTTGTTTTCAACATATTTAAACTTTTCAAATTTTGTATGTTATAACTTTTTCCAAAATTTGTATGTTATTACTTTTCAAAATCAAAATAACTTTACTTAAATTATAAAAAACCTTAAACCTAAGCGTTAAATTTTTTACAATACGTGATAACATGTTTAACTTACACACCACTGACGGACCACAAAGGGACTGGATGCTCGGCCCGATTTGTTTTCAAAGTATTAAAATTTAACACTTAGATTCAACCAAAAAAAAATCATATTTAGTTATTAAAAATTAAAACTATTTTTACTTGAAATTTGATTTAAAAAACCTTGATATTTAGTTGTAAATCAGGAAAATAGAAATGAAAGAAACATAAAATCTTTTTTTTTATGTATCTTTTTATATCGAAATCAAGTTTTCTTAATTTATTTATTTATAAAAAAGTTAGAAAAGTTGAGATATTACCTGTGATATTTAAGAATCCTGAAGGCTACAGCGACTCAGACGGTGGTCGTTTCTGAATTTTGCTAAACGTAATACAAAAACAAACCCATCAGCGCATTTCATAATCGTCAAAAAATCAAATTACTTTGATAAAACTAAAGACAACTATCACGAACCTGCTAATATAATACCTCTGTTCCTCTCTTCAATATATATATAAATCCTCTTATAAATATTCTCCTAGTCTCTAATGACTGAAGAAAACAGAGGATCGATGGAGATCACCATAGAACCTTGACTCTCCACCCTGAAACTAAAACATAATCAAGTACAAATCTTCATTATCAAAGACTACTGAATACACAAAAGCATAACACTCAGTACAAAACAAAGAGATGAATAATATATATGATACGTGAATCACATGTATGATGATGAACTAAAAAGTACACAAAATGGCTTGCATCTGCATCAATCCAAAATCGTATATGCATATACACACACCTATGAGATTCAGTTCTTGTAAGTTGCAGACAGGTAATAATAATTCTATATGTGGTCGAGAAGCAATATGAGCTCAGTAGTAATAAAATAAAACAATGCCAATGGAAACTCGCAAATCAAATCAGTATACCTCAGGTTATGAATGTTATACTGATACTACATGATCCTTCTTCTTTTTGATTGTGGGGAAGTCCTCTTGATCAAATCTTCATGAACTATAGAGAACATCAATGACCTGCAAAGAAGAGAACAACATCAAAGACAATATATATATACTAATAACACTAAAATCAAAACCAAGAGAACAACAACAACAGAGAAGTAGAAACTAATAGCTCACCAAGAACAAACATACCATGTCTCAAGGAATACTAACCAAACACGTGAATCATAAGACCAACATTGGCTTCCATCAATAATCGTATATTCATATACACTTATGAGATTCAATGAAGACACAAATCGAATAAAATCAATTGCTACAAAATAAACTCCTAAAAATTGGATAAAAGTTCTCAACTTGTAAGACACAAGACATCAACAACAAGACCATATCCAGCACAGAGAGGAACAAGAAGAGATAGAGCGGTACCTTGAAGGGAAAAGAGGAAGCAAGAAGAAGATTCCAACACGAACCAGAAGAAGAGGAACCAAAAGCCTCAGCATTCTATGATCATCAAACCGAATCTCACAACAACCTTGTCTGCATAATAATGGATTTGTAATAGTTAAGCAAAAGAGGAATTCTAACACAGGAATACACAAAATCTCATATAAGAATACTCATTACAAAACCAAAGAGAGGAATACTAACCATATACGTGAAACATAAGGCAGACATTGGCTTCCATCAATCGTATATACATATACACAAATCGAATCAAATCAATTGCTACATAATAAACTCCTAAAGTTCTCAACTTGTAAGACACAAGACATCAACAACAGAGGAACCAAAAGCAGAGGTTAGATGCCAAAGACGAAGCAGAAGAAGAGGAACCAAAAGCAGAGGTTAGATCCCAAAGACAAACCAGAAGAAGAGGAACCAAAAGCCTCGATCGCCACCACGTCTCAAGCCACAGCATTCTATGATCGCCCTGTTTGCATATCTTGATCATCAAACCGAATCTCACAACAACAAATCAACCGGAGGAAATCTATAAAGGTAGAAGCTTTACACCAACGATGAAGAGGGTTATGCTTTGTTGTTCGACAAGAGAGAACGAACTAAGGAGATTGATTTCTAGGGTTTCGAAGAAGAAAGAAGAAGAAGAAGAAGAAGAAGAAGAAGAAAGAACGGAGAAGAAGAAGTGAGAAACAGAGAATTTTGATTTCTCGATCAAAAGGAAGAACGGAGAAGAAGAAGCTTTGAGTTGAGAGAGAAACAGAGTGAATTTTTAATATTTATAAGCAAAATTAATTAAAAGAAAAGGAAATTGATAATATCACAATCACAACGGTTATATTATTATGAGTTTAAGCAAATCAATAGATTTTGTTTCGGTATTATTACATTTATTATACAACGGTCATCTTTCCTAATTTCAGCATTTTTGAACCTTGTTAATTTTAAAAGAGAATTTAGTTAAAAGATATAATTTGTAAACCGTAAGTTATAATATTGATTCATTGAAAAAATCCTAGAACTATTTTATTGACCTATTCTTGAGGAGTTATTTTACTTCTTGTTTTATGAAAAAAATGTAAATCATTCAAAACTAAGTTTTATATAATAAGTTCTCCATTACACTTAAAATAACTGAACAAAAATATTGTCGTTTTGTCGACTTATTTTGCATGTTTTATACCAAATAGAAGTATCGAGACCGGCAGAGAATGTATACAAACAATGGCGAATGGCACGGACAGGGCCGAGGGTTGATATAAATGAGCGTGCCGGGTTTGCTGATTTCTCGGTTTCGTGCGGAAGGGAATAGATCCAAGGTTGTGGAATTGGTTGATTCGACAAGAAGAAAGATGGTTGGGATGTATTTATTGACGCTAAAATTATGGTCCGACTGTTTTGGGGTTCAGTGGTGGCCTTCTTGTAATTGTGGGTTACATTGTTGGTTGCAATGTGTGGCTCCTTAGAGAGTATCCTGTTATATGTGTGCCATTTTGTTTGTATCTCGTTTTAAAGCACCCCATTATGTTTGTTTTCTCATTAGATTTTTACGGATATTTGTTGCATTTACTAGGTTATGAGCTCGCGCGGGGAACTGTTCAAATTGAACATGGTATTTTTCCTCTTTATCGGCTTTTTCTTTTACATTATATTTCCAATGAAAATATTGTATTGGTTGCTTTTACTATTTGGTATTTTATCATGTCCTCTAGAAGCTTCTTTTTGGATCATATGCATCATCCAGTTTGTTAAAAGATTCCTGTTTTTGTATTATACAATATTGAGTCAGACAAAATTGTATCTAATCATCACATTCTATAAAATGAGATACAAATGCAGAACATGTGTAAAATTAACACAAAAATAACATGTAACTAATTAATGATCAAGTCGTTTCATGTAGGTTCAAATTTGTGGCGAAGTGATCATAGGGTTTGGGTGTTGCATCTAAAATTTAGATGGCTTTTGTGTCGTGCTGCTCACTTTAACTTCAAAATAAGGTATATGCGAATCTTGGAACAATTCATGTTTTTTTTTACCAAACTGGTAATGAACCAATTTATATTACATAGTAAGCGGTTCTATTCATTCATTGAGTTTCTGACTATTCATTCTCTTCCGTCCGGTTTCGTCGTTATCAACAAAAGCTAACCTCCCCTCATAGCTTATCAACATGTCCCTATAAATACACGATGGTAAATCTATCATACCAAATTTTTCTAATCTAACATGAAAACTTATTGTAACCCAAACATTCTTATGATAAATATCTACTACATAATATATAACACCCATGATGCATCGACCAAACGTATTGTAGTCCGAATAATGGTTATGGTTGGTTTTGACTGTTCTCCATGATTCTTGACCTGATCCCAATGTTAACACACGACACACTCCAGAACCTCTTAAATAAGGTATGCACATTACTTTGTGTTTACCTTCGACCGGATCATATCCTAAAAAAACTCTTACATAACACCAGCTCTTTTCGGGTTTCGGCAAGGTTAATAACTCTTTCTTGCTAGGGTTCCAAACTACAGGGGCTCCTGATACTTGAAAACAAATTAAGCCATGGACAGATTCCGTAGGGTGCCAGTAACATTGTCCTTGCGGGAATTTCATATGGTAACGATAAATAGGCTGACAACAAGAGTAAGAAGAGTTCTGATTATCTTGAGGGATTGAGGAAACAAAAAGCTTCCCATCTGCTATAACGCAGACAAGAAGACTCGGCTGCAGTGTTGAGAAGAACCGAGTCTCGAAAGAGCGGATGAAATATGAGTCGGTGGTGATTGATGACCATAGCTTCGATACGCAACGGAATCTCAAAACATGATCTCGAAGGCAGCCTTAAGAGTATTTCTGAGGTTAGATCTTTAGGAAAGGACGACGTAAGTTTCAATTGCTTTCTTCTTTTTCGGTTGCCTTTTCTCTTCTTCTTTTTTGGTTTCTCCATCTTTTTTTTTTTTTTTTGTCAAACCCTAAATTTGTTAGGTTGTGTAGCGCAGACCATTCAAAGTCACTATATATTCTGCTAATTGTTTGTGGTCGCACTTATCTAATATATTAAAAGAGTAGTCAGCAGGCTCACGTTCGCTCTCAAAAACGGATTACCTTTTTACAATTAATGAAAAATATATTTCGTCTCCAAAAAGCCGACTTTTATGTTTAAGATCGAAAACTTTTTAAGCCGGCTTTGTTGGTTTAAACCGATATTTTTAGAATTTTTAAGTTTTCGATTTTAAACCAAACGTAAAAAAGTCCGTGGAAAATAAAACTCCTTACTTGAAACCCTACCGTTTGTGTTTAGCCTCCATAACTCCATAGAGAGAAAAACGATTAGCTTAGCTCTATCAGGATAAAAAATTTATATTTGAATACTAATCTTGTTTATAATTTAGCTTCATGTTTATAATTTTTATTTCTTGTTCGTGTAGTGCTTATAGAAAGCAAGATAAACAATTCCTACAGTTTTGTCTAACCTTACTTCACATTTTGAATCAGTTATATTCTCTAAATTTATCTGTTTTATTTTTCAATTTTGGTAAATTTGGAATAACTTTTTTCTAATTATTACGTTTGCTAATTATTAAAGATGCTCTTAAAAAAAGAATTTCCGTTGGGCTTGGAAAACATGGAAATAATAGAAAATATCCTTTAAACTTAAAAAATCTTGCGGTGCTATGTAGCTTGGAAAACATCAACAACTCCCATTCAATAATACAAATCAGTATGGATCACAAAAGGAGTTGGATGCTAGGTCTGGTACGTTTTCAACATCTTTAAACTTAACACTTAGATTCTTTAAAAATAAAAACATTTTGTATGTTGTTGTTCAAAATCAAAACTTTACTTAAATTATAAAAAAACCTTAAAACCTAAGCGTTAATTTTTTACAATACGTGAT